GACACAAAGTGAATTAAGTGCACATATATGCACTGCACCTGCTATTAGTGTGTCACTGAGACGACTGTGAAAGCTTAACCCACACAAGCACTGAACCATTTCCTATTTTTTCCCCCCTGTGAACTTTGATGTCGCTTCAGCATGCCCAGTGCGTACACACGCCTGCACACACACAGAGCAACACACACACGCGCTTCTTTTTGAGGTTTACACGTGTGTGTGTCTCTGTGTGTGTGTGTGTGTGTGTGTGTGTGTGTGTGTGTGTGTGTGTGTGTGTCCTTCATAAGGCCAGTGTGCTCATATTTTACCTGTCAGGACTGATCACCATCGCCTCCACAGCTGCTTCGCCTGCGTCCGCGGAGGATCTAACATCTCTCCTGAATCTTTACAGAGTGAAAAGCAAGATGTCTACAGGAGCCATTACATGCTGCAGCTGCACACAGTGATTTACAGCATCCTGCAGGAGAAAGGCAAGTAACCTGATTTCATGTGTAATCATTGACAGAGCTGATGCATTGTATTGCCACTGGGGAAAAAAAGAAGCCGTAAATGTGTTTAAGTGGAATTAACCAGTTCATTAGTTGAAGTAAAATTTCATGACAGGTCAACTGTCAGCGTTTAAATGCACGTAGGGGAGCCGGGCCAATCCCTCGTTGGTGTTTCAGGGGCCGTATACGTGGCGAAGGCAGAGCTAATGCTGTCAAACGCACACAGAAATCCATTTGGAGAAGCCATTAGCAAATGTAAATTGTTTTTCTGTCAATTAAGATATGAATTATCCGGCCGACATCGGCGGGATTGATGTAATCGAGTTCTGCTAATTTGACTAAAAGGAAAAGTGGTTGCTACACATAAAATCCAATCAATAAACTTTGTCAGCCAACAACTGTGTAGGCAAATGGGTTGTGAATATCAAATGGATATGTTTCCTCCGCTGGCACCCTGCTGGTGTAAATTTGAAAGTGACTAATAGCTGTGAATGCAGCAATACCTCAATGTTTGAGGGTTTGTGCCAGGAAGCTTTTTTTGCATTAACGGGTTCCTATTCACTGACCTGAATTCATTATGATTATGATATTAATTGCAAACAAATATTTATTTGCCGTTTGGAGAAATATTTGGCTCGACAGTAATGCTTCTTATATATTCTCTTTTTCTGTAGTGCTTTATGCTGCAATTACTTTCCCCTGTGCTTGTTTTTGTTTCTCTCTTCTCTTGATGTGATTGTCTCGCTAAGTGCCTCATAAAATGTGCCTTTTATTTAAATCTCTGCCCTCTGCACTGTGGAAAGAGCAATTTACTTTTTACCAGATTCTGCACAGAAGACAGTTCAGAATTTTTTTTTATTACCTGCCATCTAACCAGCTTTCTTTGTGTACAAGTACACAATAAGACTGCGATTCATATTGAGTGTTGTAAATGAGAGGAGTGTCTCTGACAGATGCTCCTGATCCTGAATCAGCTCTGATAGTCGAGGCATGAAGGTAGAGAAGTTGTGACCTGGTGCTCAGCGTCTGGCTCAGTTTACACAAGAACAAATAAATGTTGAGTGATTTCAAACAGGGCAGTTTGTTTAGGAAGGAACTAATCAGAGACAACAAACAGCTTCACGTTGTCTGTATAAACTCTAACAAACCTTCAAATGACAAAATGTCACATGAACGACAGCTCCACACTGCAGCTTCACAAAAAACACACAAATACACACAACACAGGAACATTATTAACATCAGTTTAACATCAGTTTAACTATGCATTGTCTATTTGGTTGTATTGTGTGTATTTACAGCGCATGTGTTGTCTGGAGAGTTTTCTTAGTATTTCTGCCTCTGCAAGGAAATTAAGGCTTTGTGAGTTCGTAGTTTGCCTGGATATTAGCCACTGGAGGGCAGCATAAACGAGCTGTAATCAAAACACTGACCACTGCATCGCGTTAAAAAGATAGAGATAAAGATAGAAGACACGTCGGCTCCCCAAAAGTGAAGCCAAAACATTTTGATTGCCACCTAGTGGCTGGCTACAGTATAGGTGATAAATCCTTCCTCCTACATATTATGTGGCATGTACCAAATGAGAAAGTACACGTTAAATACATATTTCTAGGTGGTTCTTATCTTACCGATGTTTGTCCAAGTCTTCACCTTTGATTTTAATTTGTTATCTGATGCTATCAAAACGAGATGAAATGTGAGACTGACCCCTGATTGGTTAATTGTTATAGTGCAGACTGGTGCAAAATGAGTGAGATCACAGCTTTGGTGTAATGGATATTGTAGCTTTATTTCCTGATAGTGGGATGAAGTGGAGACGCTTTATATACAGTCTATGGACTAAATGCACTATACTCGTCCACTAGTTGTCAGGCCTGTGTGCAGTTTGGTGCAGGTTAAGCAAATAACATTTTATTTCATTTTTTTTTTCCTAAACTGCAATAGGAGCAAGTTGAGTCCACAACAGTGAGCTGAAAGACGCACCACCACTCTGAGAACTACCAAGCTGGGTGATGTATTCTGTGTTTTTATATGAGAGACCCTTTCCAGTCATGATGTGAACCATTGTCATTCCACAAATACCAACTAAAGCCACTTCAAAGCCTTTTTGCTGAATTCCACTGCTCCTGAGGTTAATCTCTGCCGTTGTAGGGCACTGTGGCGGTTCGATGAAGTGTCATTGCTGAAAGGAATGTTGTTTTCTCGCACATTAACTTTTTATTTTGTTGACTTATGCAGAACAAATTTCCACACATTTTTCTGGAGTGAAGAAAATGTGGGTCTGTCTGGGAATGTGAAAAACAGTCCCTGAGTGGAACGAATCCCTGCTGGCCTCCATGTACCCGTTGCCTGTGGCAGGATGAATGGGTGAGTTAATATGTAGTCATTGTGCGCGCTGGATATACTCACACATGCTACTGTGATATCTTACATCAATGGGCTATTGCAAGTTAATGACCAGCTCTGTGAAGGCCCATTTGCACGAAATATGGACAATGTAAAAATGAGCTTGGAAAGCAGGTGCTGCTGCCATTGAGGAGCTCATAACCCACACATATGGTTGAGGAGAATCTCATTTAACTGAGCACTCTCAGAAAGACCTGGCTCTAAAGAAACCTAAATCTATTCCGCCGCCGTGGTGAAGACTCTGGACCCCCCCGATAACCGTTTTCTCCCCTCGTTTCTTTTCTCTCTTGTTGCATCAACGATCAGTGAATGAATTTGCATAATCATCTATAGTTAAATGATAGCGTTGAGCTACTCAGCTCCGGACTTCATTTGAATAGAAATGATACCACTTTTTGGTTTAAAAGGAAATCACTGAAGTGATCGCGAATGGATGAAAAATTTTGGTTTCGGTGAATAACCTTCAGTATAGATGGTATCTACCTCCATCTCCTCGCAGCTTCACCACCTGATCACACACCACGACAATAGATTAGTGACAGCCAGCCGCACTCCAACATCCAAAACGTTTTTTGGGAACAACATTTTTTTTTATTTCGGGGAATCGTTTGGAGTCAAAGGAGCATAAGACAATAATAAATAACTGGTCAAAATGTCAAGTACCAACACAAAAACTCAAAGTGAACACTGACTGATTTTGCTTGAAGATAAATGAGAACAATTAACTTCAGCAAAAAATAATGAAATTTGAAAAGAACAAAAAACAACAACATATTGCCAGAGGGTCATAAAAATGAGACATAAAATTAAGCTACGTAATATCAGAAAAAAAAAATTAATGCAAAAAGACAAGTTGAGCAGACGAGAACATTGACACAGTTTAAAAAAAAGGAAGAATAGAAACAAACAAACACCTGTTAAGTCAGTAAGGTGCTAGCAACAGATCCAAATCCATCATAATCTGTCTTTATTTTCTTGTTCTGATGTTTTTAAATTTCCAATAAAAAAAGAAATAACATGATGAAAGTAACTGGAGAATAAGAGGAGTCCCTAATACAAGATCTGAGGGAGGTGTTTTCTGTTGGTCAAATATTCATGCGACTGAAGAGAAACACCATCCAGAGACTAGACTTCTAATCTAACAACATTTGCTCTGGCCTAAACAAATGTTGCTGTGCACATCATTTTTTTTATCCCCAGGTGTTCCTGGTGAAAGAATAAAAATCCTTTTTTGTCATGTTGCTACAGCAGAAAAATCAAATGGTCTGTCTGTACAAGAAGTGGGTTTTTAAAAAAACTGAACAGAATCTTTAATTTTCTGTACAATATTGACCTGCAAAGCACAACGGCTATGATGTAATAAAATATGTAAACATATTTGCTGTTTTTTGACACAGTCGTCTGTGACAACACATAGAATCACGCTTGTTCACACTGGAGTCTTTAGCCTGGACGTTTCTCTTTTGTAAGATTGTAAAAATTAAATCTCGGCCAGACAAATTATGAGAACGAATTTTGTCAGAAAACTGGACCCAAACAAATAAAATGAAAGCAAAGGGAGAATGCTATCAGAGATTCAAAATTCAGAGAAGTAACAATGTGCAATTTGCCTGGCGGTTCCACTTTTGCACGCTTGAACACCATCTAGTATTTGGATGCCATGCACAGCAGTCCAATCCTTAGCCGAGACGTGAGGGAGGGAGAGGAAAATATTAAGATACATGACTGTATCACACCCTGCTGAGCAGTCACTGAGCATTGCCTAGTCAACCCTGACTGCACGTCATCCTTCAAAACAATACAGACCTAAACTCAATAGCTAAATAAATTACTAAACAAATAAATAAAAAACAAACCAAAGAAATAAAAAGAAAAAAAGACAGCTTTAAGTACATATACTTTACCTCATATCGCATCCATGACAGCTACATTTAATGAAACCATTTGTAATGTGAAATCACGTTTTTGACTTCCAACTTTCCCGACAATCATTGTTTCTTGAGGTCCCTCACTTACACAGATGCCAGCACCACGTCACATACACCTCACATGCATGCTCAGAATGGCTGAAATGACAGTGATCGTATTTTACAGGGTTACAATGGACAAGGTCGTCAGATCTCCAAGGGTCACACACCTCTTTGACAGTCACCTGGGGTCGTGTGGATGTTAAAGAGTGATACTTATTCACACTGCCAAATGTCTGCAGCAGGGACTCCTTGAAAGGTTTGTGTTGAATCCCAGTGAAGTTGTACTGCATTGTCTCTCCATAATGCTTACAATAGTAAGTGTGCTTCCAGAAGCCAAAGTTCTTTAGTAAATGTCTCAGTGACTCAGCAAGTCTTGAGTTCTCAGGAGATTTGATCCTTTTTAAATCACAGTTGCCAATATGGTACTGTCAAAATGTTTATAACTTTGTTCCAAACAGTTTGTACTTTTATGTGTTGGGAAATGATTTGATTTCTATACATAATATTCCTTGTCCTTGTCTTTCGGTCTCTTGCTACTGGCGCTGCCTTTGGCACTGCCGCTGGGTGCTTTATCCTTCACCACAGCGCCATTGGTTTGTGCCGAGTTGCTGATGTAGTTGCGCGTCTCGTCCACCTGGTAGGAACCCTCGTCCCTGTTCCTGTACTTGTACATGGCGTAGAGGAGGATGAGGATGCAGAGGGCAGCGGCTGAGACAATGCCCACCACCATGCCCGTGGTACTGCTGGATTCTCGGATCACCTCAGAGGCCCCCGGGGGCACCCGCCGCACCACGCCGGGCACTGTGGGCAAGGCTGCGGGCACTGTGCGCAGCATGGGCGAGGTGATGAAGGGACCCCGTGGCTTGGTGCCATCCCCATCAAAGGAGGTGGGCAGGGGCAGCAGGACTATGTCCGGCTGTGGGGGTTTTACCTCGCGGTTGTTCATTTTCCCAGCGGGCAGCTTGGGTGGCGTGTCCGAGGGGACTGCCGCCGGTGGTGTGCCCCGGAGGTCGGGTAGAGGCGAGGTGGGTATAGTCCTACCTGCCTCAGAGGCTTTGCTAGGCCTCAAGTCCTTGGCCTCCCACTTGGGCGCGAGGGCTTTGTAGCCACCTTCATAGGCCGATGTGGTCAAGATCTTATCTGTTACCAGGGAGAAGGTGGTGTAAAAATCTTCATCGTCAGTCGGGGGCAGGCTAGAGTCGAAAGCTTCGCCAGAGCCAAACCCCGAAATCACCATTCCATCATCATCATCATCATCATCATCATCACCATCACCATCATCACAATCATCGCTGCCTCGGTCCGACAAGCAAGGTACCCCCGCCTCAGTGGCCATGGCCAAGGATTCTTTGGTGGTCTCAATAATGGTGAGGACGGGGCGGAGGGTTGGGGGGAGGGGGATGAAGGGAGAACGGGTGGATACAGAAGGGATGTCTATGGGGTCCTCGACTAGCACGGGGATGACTAGCTCCCCTCCTGGAAAGTGAGAACAGAGAAACAAACATAAGTCAGGAGGTGGAAAGTCTTTGCTCGGCAAAGCAAGAAGCAAACACCAAAAGAAACGGTAACTGAAGAACGTAAAAAGCAAAGCTCAACATAGGGAAGAAAACAAAACTGAAGATAAACAAAGAAAGAAAGAACAGAAAATATTGTACCAGTGCAAAAACAAAGAAACTCAGAACCAAACAAGACCCAAACTGAAAGAAAACAACAGCCATAAATAAAGAATACATTGCATCAAAAGGCTTTGAGGGATGCACAAGGGTGAGCCACAATAAACTGACTCCTCACACATAGCCTACATCTGCTCACCTAACAGAGCTACATTAACACTGCACTTTCAACAACTTATATATTTTCTATGAGCTGCATGTAGATTGAGCGTTGCTCTGTGTATATGTCACAAAGTTTAATATTTAGTTCTATCTGCTAACGGCTGCTTAAATTATTTTAAGGCTCGTTTCATGTATCTTTAAGTGTAAATCCCCTTTTCAGTCCATTCAAACACTTAGAGCACCAAAAGATGTGCTCTGTGGACAAACAGAAGCAGAGGGCATTAGCATTTGTTTGCTACTCGAGTGCAAGCCAGTGGGCCTGAAAGGAAGTTAACTAAGTCTGAAATGAGAAAGTGTTTGTAAGGTGTTTTCATAAAGCTGCTCAGAGAGGCGCTTTTTAACCCCACTGACCTACATCAGCGAACAAACACCGACAGCTCCTGCATCATAAAGCTGAGAAATTATAGTAAACTAACACAGAAGAGGTGATGTTTATGGACTGGAGCTGCTCCACAGTCCAAAAAAAAAAAAAGACTGGTACTTTAATGCTCACACCGAATGCTAAGCGAGTTTTCACATTGCATTATTCACCAGAGTTTGGCTGCAGGATCATTTGTGTTTACCTGCAGTACTTGCGTTGTACCTGTTGTGGAAACGCAGGACAAGCCAGTGCCGTCATGTTTGGGACCACATTTCCTAGGAGCTGTGCTTGGATGTCTGTCATTTCCAGCGCTACCTGAGGCTGAACAGTGGCCATTTCAATTTGCCTGCTTGCTTGGATCATTGCCAGGGCTCGTTTCCTGAGTTTCATTCTATAACTCTCTAGCGAGTGAAGCAGGGCAAGCGACATGAACTTTGCGGCCATTTGTGTCTATTCGCAAATGTCCATTGAGTTTGCATGTAAACATCTTGCACGAAACACTCGCTTTGCGTTTGGTGTGAATAAATCATTAATCTAACCGAGGGCCCCTCGCTGATCTAAAACTCCACCATTAAAAAGTCACCACTAACCAGTCGGCTCCCCAACTTGCCCTAGCCTCGTGCCTTTTGACCCCTACAGTTACCACAATGGCACAAAGTCACCAGGCAGTTCAGTGACACCTGAATGTTTGCGGATTTATTTGATGGTAGAATCTCATTTGTCAGATGTTATAATACAAGATTATTCATCAGAGAGTCTAAGGAACCTAAAGTATGTACAATTAACCATTAATGACAAATCCATATTGGAACACTTGATACCAGCTCTGGCTAAAACTGTTGAAACATTCAGATGTCGACTGAAGCTGCGTCTCCTCTTGCCAAAGTGGCTTGTTTGTACATCGCAAAGGCTCACAAACAGGGCACTATAAAGAGATGCAAACCTTTTGGAACAGTAAAGACAAAAAGAACACAACAGAAAACGAAGGAAACCGAAAATCATAATTAAGGCATTGCAAAGGTTCAGAATTAGAGCAAACATCGTAAAAACATTCACAAAGTAAAGCCACAGATAGAGCTATCCAGAAAGGGATTAGTAATAAGTAAGTAGAAAAAACAGGTAAAATCAAAGTCAGCTCGGAAAATCATAAAAGCCTACAAAAAGAAAAAAAAACAGTTTTCAAAGGAAGAAAGCATACCATCAGTTTTGTCAACTTACATCAACAAATTGCCCGCATGATTTTGGCAGGAAGAAAAAAAAATTTACAAAAGAAAGTTGTGTAAGAATGCCTTTGGACAAGTTAGGTTAGTTTCGTTTTTAACAGTTTCTGATTAAGTAGTATATATTTCTCTTTTGAGACAGGATGGTACAGGGAGGCAACAACACATACATCCACACATCATGACATGAAAAATAATCTTCACCATTCTGTTCAGGATATCTCTTTTTTGTTCTTTTGATAATCATTTAGCTTTATATAAAAAAGAAAACTGTATCTCTATAATTCTTGCTTTGATAGATAATTCTCTCCATAAATATCTACAGCCTGATCAGATTACTTTTTTTTCTTTTTTCTTTTATCTCTGTCGACTTTAACATGTTCATCGGTAATGAACAAACGGATGACTGTACATATCTTAGAATCTCTACGTAAAGGGTTCAGGAGCAGGGAGTGTGAAACGGGGTGGGACCTATGAACATACTAGGAAGGAAATGACATAGATGGGGGTGAACGTGTACATCAGTTGCCATGTCCATGTAAAGGCGGCACGAAGCGGTCGAGCGGCATTAGAGCTTTTGGCTGTAAGGAAGGGATGGGGATATACAAACAATGAGCATATACATGCCCATCTACAAAAGAGAACAGCACTCTCAACAATGACAGTTTTACAGACCCTAAGCTGCAACTTCTTTGCCATGCACAAAAATTAATCGACTTATTCATTGATTAAATCCAAATTCAATCAGAGGTAGAGCTATTCAATAACAGGAGAATATTAGAGAGCAGCATACAAACAGTTTTTCCACTTTGAAGGTAGCTTCTCTTTTTTCTCTATGAGGACATGAATTTGAACCTTCCAATGCTGCTGCGTCGTTTTGAAACCCAATCTCCAAAACCTTCTGTCGTTATTAATAAGAGAAATTCATTCATAGAGAAAAGAGGAAGCCTTATTCTGATTAGGGAAAAATAAATCATCAAAACATTAGAAAAATAGTGATTCTTAGCAAATTAGCAGATTAAAATTTGAACATTTTCAGAAAAGAAACATAGAATTAGACATATATGTGTATTAACATATATGTACAAACAAGACAAAAAAAATATAAACAGACTAGCAAGCAAGAAAGAAAGGCATTAAATTTCTCACACTATCAAAGATGAACAACCAGAAAGCACACACTGAGGCAGACAAAGAGAGGGGGACAGTTTAAAGGCAAAGTGTCACCACCTTCACTTAACTAATAATAAACTGCTTATTATTAGTTACTTCAATACATTTCTCTTGTTAGTATTTTTAAAACACGGGACAGGGCGTGCAATCTGGATGTACGTCAGAGAGAGAGAGGTATATCAGACAAGGTCTTATTTTGGATTTTAGTTTCACTATAAGAAGTTGGGTAATGCATGCTTAAGTAAGTTGCATTTAGGGAGAGTAATATACAATAACAATACAGCAAGCCAGGGGTCGGGGGGGGGGGCTTTAGAGGGGGTCAAAGATCAGTGTAAGGTCACTGCCATCAAAGGGCTGTGGGATATTATCTCAGGCAAGGAAACCATTCATCAGCAGTTAACAGGGGGAGAAGGTGCACCATGGGTGATGTATAACCAATATTAAATGGTATTTAGCCGCACCACATTTGCTACTTAATCAAGAGGGGGAGTAAAGTGATAATTAATGAGCCACTTTTTTATGAAATGTTTAGATGCTTTGTGTTCTGTGCATAACCAACAGCCTTTGTTTGGCAGGTAAACACTGTGCTGGGAGCGAGTTCCACAAGAGGGCACAGGGGGGCGGGTTTTTATCTGTGCCTCTGGTGAGTTTAAGGAGAAGTGAAAGGCACATTTGTCTTCAGACGTCAGGTGTTTGGTTCCTCCTCTGCAGGCTGGTTTACAGAAAAAAACTCTTTCATTTAGCTTAAAATTGGCCCCTGAGTCAAGCTTTATTGGAAATATGGCATGTGTCAGGCTGTGTATTATCAACTGGCGTCTTTAATGCGAATCTTCCCGACTGTCCAACCATGCTCCAGAGAACAGAGTAATGTCTGACGCGATAACAGAGTGGCTTTTCACTGTAAGAACGTGGTGTTTCATCTTCGCTATGACTAACATCTAATGCTGGTGTTGCACGGCTGTGATAACATTCCAACTACAGAACTCTTTGCCTTGTTTAATGCACAAAGGCAGCACAGCATAAGCGATTTCGCCGAGGCTTTATTTATCCAACTCTGCCCTTGTTGTCTCGGCCTTGTTTGCAACCTTTCACTCCATTCTCGGCTAACAGCTTTCGGCGACTGTTAGCTTTGCGCTGTATCAACAAAACACTTGGATGTGAGGGAAACCACTGCAGTTAAGGGTCTCCATTAAAGTCAGTGCAGAGGACCTTGATGTTTTGGTAAACACTTTAATCCTACGTAAGCTCTTGCACAAGCATTGCACATCTTCCTGCATTTCTGAAGCAGACAAACACTGCGGTTTCTAATGGGTTTGCTTAACCAGATTGCATTTGTTTTTCCAACACTGTCAAGATGGAAAGGGATTTTATTCTAAGCCTCTGCCTCCATGGCAAATAATCCTACACTCTGCTAGACCCACAGCCAGCTACACCCTTTGCTTTCTTTTTTAGGCAAGAGTGCTTTTTGTGCCTTCTAGTCTTTGCTTCAATAAGAAACTCATCTAGAAAGATGAGAGTATGAAAGAAACTGAATTTTACAGCCAATACTCTTTTCATCCCATGATGTAAGAAAGATATTATCTGCTTCATGTCCATGTTGGCTTTTAAAGAGGAATTGAAGAAAATACAGTTACTACTAAATGGCTGATTGGGCGACTACCTCAGCAACTTAGAGGCTACAAATGCAGAAGTCTCAGAACAGCACTTTCTCTTCACTTATCCTCCTCTCCCTCTGTCTTTTCTCTCTCTTCCCTTTCCTGGCCTGATCCCCATGTCCATCCAGCGTTTGCTGAGGCTTCCGAATGGAGATGAATCCCGACGGTGTGTCAGGGATTTGACGGCGCTACACCACAAAAGCGGAAAGCCTGTGCACCAGCACCAACCGTGGATGAACTGAGTCAATGAGATTTCAACGTTGCAAATTGTGGGTGAGTCAGTGGTTTGAGGCCCTGAAATCCTATTGTAGCAGCTTGTATTGTGCTAGGAGACCTGCTGTAGCAGATTCATTCACCTCTACCCACTACAGGTAGGGAGCTGATTACTAGAGAGCCAGCAGCATGCAGATTCTCACTGTGGACACAGTTAAAGGGACATGCCAGGGATTATATTGGTGCACTCCGCAAAGGCTGAGCATTCTAGAAACATGCACCTTAAAAAGCTGAGCACTTTACCTGGCACTTAAATTATCTTATCTTGCCTGTGCACACAACTGCCAACAGAGGAGAATTTCTCACTGATGGACAGTAGCATCCCGTCCCATTTTCAACTCCAGGGAGCAAAGAGGTCTTTCCTGTAAGGACACATAAACCACCTCTGGCTGGAAAAAGAGCCCTCTTCCGGGGTGTCCTGAAGCCACAGCACACTGCATATAGCTCTTAATCCGTCATCATGTGGCTGGGGGCAGTCTGGCGCATGAAATTGGCATCTCCGGCAGGCGTGGCGACTTGCCCCTGTCAGCTGGTCGATTTGCTGTACAGCCATTAGGCTGCACCTCTGCATCCAGCGGACATGTGTCAGCTGAATAACCTTTAAACTGATCTGAGGCCTTTGCTGAACTGACAGCTGGCCCAATGGGGCTTGACGGAAGCCATCGCTGATGCCACAAGGATCAGTGATCCATTCCAAAACTTGATTCTCCACCCTACACGTGGCTCTTCTTCTATACAGCAATGAAGAAGTTCAACGATATCACATCCCTGCTCCTCGCCTAAGATTATTTGAGCTTCTGACTCTCCTCTTTATCCACCAAGGCCAATAAGATGACGAGACAACTGTAAATATGTTTCAGATGTGTTCCACGTCACCAAAGGATGTTCAGGTAAGGACTTTTTTTTTTTTCTATATGCAATCATGCTACAATCTATGACCATGACAAGTGCAACAGTTACCCTGTTTGGTTTGTTTCCTCTACAACAATGACAGTGTTTGTTGTTTGTTCAAACCCACTGAAACATCCCACCTGTGTGTTTATGCTCAGTGGCAATGCAGGAAGATGTCTGACGTTTTTTATCAAATGGCAAAAAGTACTGTGTCCCAACAGTCAGCGTTTATTCCCTTTATCGATGACTTCAACCTTCACTCATCTTTCAACCTGATACTGTGCAGTTTATAATGGAGCCACTGCAATAAACCTTTCCAAGTGTGAGTAATAACAGTTATGGCTCCATTCCATTTATGTGTTTTGAATCTTAGGGATTGTGCGAGTGCCTCTCTGACACAATTTACTGGCACCACAATAGTAAGTGGGACAAAGTCATCAATAATGTTATTAATAACTTCTGTGCTTTTCTTTGCCAACAGGTCAACATGTCTGCTGTGACAAAGCTCTATCACTCTGCATCTGTGCATTTAAACGTTGGTTTGTCCTATTTTACGTTTGTACGCGTGCTTGAAATGAACTTGAAGCTAATTATTTTCATTTGGTCTAACTAATGTTAATGTCTTATGGGGATTTTAGTAATTCGTAGAAGCTGTATGTACAAATCAAACAGTCTCATTTGTACTTGTGGATTTATCAAAATCATTTGCATCAATTACAGCAACATAATTACAAATCAATCGCAAAATGTCTCTGATTACATGGTAATGACAAGCTGCATCACTGTTAATCACCATTAAATTAAATCAGAAATCGACTTGGTATTTGCCGTTCTCTCTAAATCTCTAATGTTTCATCACTCCCTTCCAGGTTGTAGTTTTTAGAAGCTGGTGCAATTTGGTGTATAGTTTGTTCTTATTCAGGGGCTTGAACAATGAGTCACTGCATGCTGTTTATTTGCTCTCTTGTGGAACTCACATGGGATAAAGGGAAAAGGTAAGGTTTAACAGTGTTATTAAACATACAGACAACACAAACACGAGACGACCACGCACAGCGGACAAGACAGGCAGACGCAGACGGAGCACAGACAGAGACAGCAGGCACGAGCACAAACACAAGACGCCTCTGAGAGAAGAGGAGCTGCTGCGCGGCTACTGCGGCGGTGCAGGCCCGCCGCAGTAGCCCCGTACACACACAGACATGTAGTAGAAGCCAGCTGGGGGTTAGCCTGACACTTATGGGTGGAGAAGATGCAGCACACAAAATGGATGCCAATCATATCCATGCAGAAGCAGGGGGGTGGGGGGAGAGGACACTTATAGTCTATAGCTACGGTACAGTCCAGTACAGTGTGCATGCCACAAATGCCTTCTACTTGGAGCAACAGATAGAATAGAAAAACAGATATACTTTGTGGCAATAAAAGTCTTTTTATGCCATCTGCATTCAAACAGACATGTATATGCAGAAAGGCTAAAAGAAAGAAGGTGGGTGAGTCAGGATGGAGGGAGGAGGGGAGGGGATTAACGCTTGGGAGGGGGAGACAGGGAGTCATTCTTTCACACACAACTTTCTTGAGACAGAATGGGGTTGCCTGCACAAGGCCAAAAAAAGGGTGATGGCAAGAAAAGATTTTGTTGCCGTTCATTTCCCTATGTTGTATCGAAAATGGGGGAGGATGTTTCTTTAGAAGCCATATGGCACGAAATAATAAAAATAAACACAAACTTAGATGAGGAGGAGAACTTTGAATTTTCCAACCACCAAAAGTTCATGCGGCACAAGATGAGGCAAAAAACGGGAGGAGCGGCTCTATCCTTGCTTGGAGGATGGACGACGGATGATGAGGAGGACGCCAAAGAAAAAAACTAAACAAAAAACAATCACAACAAAACTGGAAAATAAAATCACCCCCACTAAACCCCTCAACCCTCCCCGGCCCCAAAACGTAAAGCAAAATAAAATAAAAAGCTCAAATCGTAAGTGACCCAGCAGCTGGGTCCAAATCGATACAGAAGAGAGATGTTCACATGTGCATCACAGGAGAAAAAAAACAAACAAAATGCAACAGAAATGAAATCAACACCATGTCATGCAACTGTTCATACAAGTGGAAGCGGGGCAAGGAATGAGGATATGAATTTCTGTGTCAACATGGTGAAATGTACAGTATGTATGAGTGTGTATGACTACATATGTTGCCACTATATGAGGGGAGGGTACCATGTTCTCTCAGTAAAAAAAACTTATGCATTACACCTTTACTTTTGAGAACACTTGGGTTTGAGCTTTCAACAGTCGGGACACGTAAAAACAAAACACATGAGCTGTAAGAAATTTGTCCATTTAATTTCAATAATCTCTGACTCGTGTTTACTAGATAAAGCACCTAAATACAGCACAAGGCCGCCGAGAAAATGGGTTTCTCCTCACATCAAAAAGCCATAAGCACGAGGGCCTGACTGTGTGGTCATGATTTCAAAGAAACAAATGCTATAACAGTATGCTAAGGACTCAAGGTAAATGAGTTCCTTTCACAGATTGTAGGAAAATTGTAAAATTACGAGCAGAGTATCTCAATTACACGGAAAGACCTCATTTCTGAGATAAATAAATAAGCGCTTGATTATCTGTTATGTTCCCTGAGCACACGTACCAAAGTGAAAGAGCAACGCATTGTTCTTACTTCTTATTAGTTTGGTCCAGCGCGGAGCCATATTTAGCCAGATTAACACAGCGTCAATTAGTCTGCTGTGATGGCATTTTGAAGGACAGTGGAGCAATCAAATAGCCTGAGCTGTTAATGATTTCCAGAGCGCCTTAGGGGAGACGCTTCTCACATACTGAGCCAGTGTCAGCGGAGCACACGCTCCTGGTTCCCTCCATTAGGATCCATGCCAACTCCTCCAGGGTAGAGGGGTGATTGACAGCTGCTTGTTCGCAAGTCGTCCAAACCCAAGTTGCCTCAAAACATCCACTCGTTTTAAATCTGCGGTTTAATTTACAGCTCTGTTTTTATTTTCAAACTCCACTGAGTGGATGTCCTATCACTTTGATTTAAATCCAAAGTGATGTGTGTGTCTGTGTGTGTGTGTGTGTGTGTAGAGGGAGGAGGGAAGAGAGACGATGCGCACAGAAATTCGAGGATATCTGTTCTCTATTAGAATGTTTCAGGTAAGGCAAGCCTCCGACGAAGGAAACAGAGGTACAAACAAGAGAAGAAGAAGAAGGGAGGAAGAGGCTCTGTTGCAGTTAGTCTGCTACATATCACAGTATCTATGCTGAAAGCATCTTTGTTCTCGAAAGAATCTCAAAATGTATCCTCTGTCAAGAGAGACGCACACACACGCACAGCAAGAGGAAATCAACCATGTACAGAGCAGATACATTTTGAAGCATCAGTTCGGGCGACATGCGGATTGATACTAATTTCGTACTTTGTTGAGGAAAGTTTTGCTCTCGACCGAATGCTGAGAGAACAAAATTAGTATCAATGCTGCGTCATGTCTGCAACCAGTGGCCCCATAGCTAAGTGTAACTTGATTTACAGATGAAAGGTGTTTGAAGCTTTTACAGTGGCTGACGATTAGATGTATGCATTTACTTATTAACAGCTAAAGTTGTGACTTCGGGTAGAGGGCATGCTGAGCATATAGACACTCAATTCTTAAAGAGTCCTTTAAGCTTTAGATTTACAGTGAGAACCCTTTGCACTAGTGAATATTACTCATTACTTGTGGGCTTTTTTTTTGAAGTTACACTTGAAGCTCCCATGGGACATGATGCTAAGAGGAGACTCTCCTCGGTAGCAAATCAAAGAAAGATAAGGAGAAATAGACCAGGTTCAGAGCAAGCACAACACACCCATCCCACCTGCATGTCCGGAGTCACACTCCTCCAGGTCCTCGTCATCGCTGGAGCACTCCGCTGACGAAACAATGTCATCTGTCGTCTGCGGAGAGAGAGACACATCCACACATACACACACACACACACACACACAGGAAAATTGGGTTAGGTCCTGGGCAGTATAGTCAGTCCTCAACTTGCACACAGCCATTCCAGTCAAGGATATCTCTCCACACACAGACCTCTCCGCCTGTCCTTCGGCTTCCATATATCACTTGGAGTCAATCATATTTCACAGTGTTTATCATTCTTCACTTTATGTGCTTTCCACCTCCACAGATAATTGTTTTCCTTCACCCTCCGCACTCTGCCTCCGATTATTTATCGCCCGTCTCCTCCTCCGTCGTCCACAATCAATGGCCCCACCAAGCCCTCGCAGATCAACACCGTCCCGGCTTCTGATTTGTGCTAAAGGGTGCAGAGGGAGGGTGGGATGGGGTGGCAGACTTGCTAGCTACAGCCGAACCAGCGATGGATTATCTGCACCCTCCAGTTCCCACTGTTCTGATTTATCCGACCCACCTCCCCCTTCCCCCCTTTTTTCGGGTCGACCCATGGAGGACAGAAGGTGGGGGGAGGTTGTATTTCAGCAGGGGTGCGCCGGGCAGCCGGCGTTTATTAGAATGAATCAGCGGGGCGATAAAATAAGCCCTGTCACCAAGCAGGGTTATGAAATCAGAGTGCTGATTGAGTTTTCCAGTCCTGGCCGAGGGTGTGGGGCTCTAAATATCATTGAGTTTGACAGACTAATGAAACGCGCCCCCATGCTTGTGGTGCTGTTCTCAACAGGGCCCAGAGAAAGCTGTCCACCAATACTGCTTGCACACACACACACACACACACAGAAACACACATGGGCTTGCTGATGTTCATTTCTACGAATCGTCACAGTGAAAGTTGATTTTCCAAAGCATCCTCTTAATGCATCCTATGACTATGCATAAGCTGTGCTACATTCTGCATCAGATCATCTGATGTGTTGATGTGTGATGTTGCTGGTGTCTGTAATGCACCACATTATGTACTGTACTTCAGCATGAGGAGGCAAAACCAGAGCAGGAGGGGAGGCTGTGAACTAAATTGCTGTAAAATACAGCCCCTTGGTGAAAATGACATTATTTATTGAAGCCACATTACGGGCGTAAAAGTCTTGGTTATTGCTGAAAGAGGGTTATTGCTTGTTACTATGATAGCGGCAAATGTGGGAGGCAGGGAAACAGAGAGAAAGAGAGAAATGAGAAGCCCAAAGCCACACGTCTGTTCCAGCAATTCCATCGTGACACCATCGTGCCATAACCCAGGACCAAACACCGCTTTTCTCTGCAGCTGATGCCGACTTCATCTCGACACAAAGGAAATGTTGTCACTGCGGCGGCTTCACGAAGCCTCACACACTGATCTACATGTGTATGTCTCTGATTATCTGCGTAGCCCGGTTTCTTTTCTTGACATTAAGGCTGCAACAACACGAGGTTACACCAAGTGTGAAGAGAGAGAGATATCAGACGGCGTCTTGTTCTATCATCTAAGGGGCACTGTGATGAATTTGCAATTTCATTTATTTTTTATGCATAAAAAGAAAATAAAATCCCTTCAATAAACCATGAAATGCTGTAATGAGTTGTGTTTATTTCATGGAGGAAATTTTGCTCATGTCGAATCAGACACTTAAAATTAGCTTCTTTTTTTTTTACACGTATTCCCTTTGCGGTGCCGTGTAAGAGGAGAAAACACTTTTCATCACCAGACTGTCAGTCTTACTAAATTTTCAGATGCTTGCAGCAGCACTGCAGCAATTTGCGATTATGAGAACTTTTATTGGGGTAGTTGTCACTAAGCTACACAGCCTCATCAAATGAGCTCAGATAATTCTACAACAACACCCATCATATTTCCATGTGTGAATCTAGAGCTGTAAATGAATGCACCTGCTATTATATTGATTATAAAGGGAGTAGAAACGTGGCAGTGCAACGTGGCGGCCACCGTGGAAGTGGACTCACTTCATTACACTTAACTCACACGTATGTGTTGCATTAGCACAGTATCGTGGATGTGTCCGACGCTTGGTGCCAGCCAATCGTCACAACAACGACAATCACAGTTTCATGCTTGGGACTCACAACGTAGCTGGTGTTCATACAAGTTCACAGGAAATACAATCCACGACCAGATGAACCCACATTAGGTTCACCTGCTGTCTCTTTCGTAATTGGATTGGCTAACGTCTGCATTTTTGGCCCAATTGGCTGGTGCTACCGTTGCTGAATGAAAAGTTATGCAATGCAACAGAACCACGATGCAGTTCAGCAATGCATGACGTCACCCCATTCAAAGTGAATGGGAAGCTTTTCGGTTGAAGCCTCTGACGAGTGCTTGTGAGACAGGATCATTCAAAGGTAATGGAAACACAATAGATACATTTGATTACACACTAATACAAACATAATTAAGAATATTATATTCCATTTTAGACAATCCATGACCCTAAAGTCTGAACACACAAATTCCAAGTTTTCAAATTACTTAATTACATGATTTTCTTTTCATGTACCCAATAAGACCTTGCAGAACTCCAAATTTTCCCATCTGAAAAATTGCTTTAATAGTTGTACGAGGATTGACATTACTGTAACTAGGCCATAGAAACTAATCAAACAACCTGGCATTTCTGCCATGAGATGAGCCTGAAATGTTTATAATCTCTGCGCTCTCTTGAATTGTATGTGCACCAAGGCCACAGCCGTGCGCGGCACCGCAGAGCTCTTGCAACAAGAGTCATCGAACATTTCATCTTGGAGTCTATCCACATTAAATGGGAATACTGACAGCCTCAGCTCGGGTATTGTAACGGTTGCATTTCAATGGTAAGAGGACCATCCTTTCAATATATTCACTTTATCATTTCATTGACAATCATCTACAGACAGTAAGAGACCCACTCTCATCTCAAGCAACTTTGATTCCACTCAGAGAAATTGAAGTGAGCTTTTTGAAGTGTGATGTTTGACATTTGTAGATTCACAAGACACACGCCTGATTCATTTTCATAAACACATGATGCATCTCTGCGCCCTCGCAATGCTTTAGACTGAAGTGCTTCTCACAAGGGGGCTTAGGGTGCCATTTTTCCGCATTCGGGCTAATGCAGAAGCAATGAAGTGACACGCACGGCTCACAGTCTTCTCTCAGTCGACCAGAGACGTCGATAATAACATATGGCATGAGGCTAGATGTTGTAAATGCAAAGGGAGCTCATGGAGCGGAAAAGGCATAGGCTGCATTTGTGCAGTGATGGGAGCCTGCAGCGGGGTATAGCATAATGATGCGGTTGGCCAGCGGGACTACAAAAACTGATTTCACAGCTGGGGAAATCCAATTCTCTGTCTAAATCTCCATAACATAGAGTGGGATATATTTTGGCAGCAAAGTGATTTCTTCTTTAGTGTAATTATTCTCAACAAACATTCCCATCCCATCATTTTAAGAGTCTGGGTGGTGGGATTTACAGGCCAGTTTGTTGTGTATGTGTGTTTCAGAACTTTTGATATGTGGTCATGCATTTTCCACTTTCTGTGTGTGAGGAATGTGCATCATACAGAATGATTTCATTCCATTAAAACTCACAGGCTATGTGCATCATGCCCGATTATCCTGATTACCCTGCGTTCAAGAGATGCTCAAATTCCTATCTCCACAAACAAACAGCACGACCAGATCAATAGCAAAGCTTCATTAAAACAGCATTTACTTCTGACCGCTTCAACTGAAAGGATCACACTGGCGATCGATAAGGATAGACAGCTTCCTTGAGAGACAAGTTTCAAAAACACACAGCTTTATTTCTGTGCTGACGCCATCAGTGGCAGAAAAACGTCTGAAGATGCCCGGCTGCCTCTGTCTCGACAAAGCTTCTGCTCTCTTGTATTAATCAGGGGATTGTGTGCTGACGACTGGGAATCAGCCAGCAGCGACACAGAGAGTGTTCACAGGCAAAGCTGCAATTATCTCAACACGTGAATGAATGCTACATCACTGCTCGGTCCTGACCTCAGAGAGAAGAAGCTGCAGGACTGATTAACAATAAACTGGACACAGCAGAAACAATATTTGTTTCATTTTAAAACTATTTCACCTGTCCACAGGAGATTTTTTATTTTGCTGATGCAGCAGCGTGGAATGAAAGCTTTGCCAATAAATGTGAGAGCTGAATTAAGTGTGTATTTCTATTTTAGACTTATAGTTTGTGTACTTTTCAGTACATGTAGTTTTACTTGAGTAAAGAAGTTCAGTCAGTACTTATACTTTTACTTGAGTCGTGTTTTAACACATGTATCTGTACTTCTGCTTGAGTAAAGAATGTGTGGACCTTTGCCACCTCTGTTCCTTAGCCAAGTCGGACTGAGACAAATCAAGTGTTTATCTCACAAAATTACAGTTTTTCAGTAGGAAAGTCTTTGTGTCATCCTCCCTTCACTACAACTCAGTAAGGAAACACTGTTTATCAGTTTATCAGCAGCAGCACAGGCTGCCACACTCTGCTGCATCAAGCAGATAAACACACCCGCATTTAGACAGATAACTTCCACAGCCAAATGGAATCCACTATTCAGAACAGCCGAACCACAGCACAGTCCACCTGACTCAACCAGGAAGTAGAACAAAAAATCCAGACATTTATAATTATTTTTACATGGCCTCGATTTGATAAGCAAGATTAGATAAAAAGTACTGGACGGATCAGCATGAAACTTGGCAGAAGGGTGGGTTATGGGTCATGAAAGAACCCATTAACTGTGGTGTGGATCTGGACGACAAATGTTTTTTTCACTCTCTTCGATATCGGGAATAATTCAGGCATATTTAAGAGAGCCCTGTGATACACTAGCTACCTGTCATGTACCCTGCCTCTTGCCCAATGTCAACTGGAATTGGTTGTAGCTCCCTATGGGCCCCTTAAAGAGGATTAGTGGTATAAATAATGACTGAATGGATGGATGATTAGAGGACTGATATTTATCTTTGCAATTTGGTCCAGATCCA